AGTGTGTCCAAAAAGAGCTATATTTGGCACATTATGATGGAACAAAACTTAATCTAAGTAACTTACTATAAAAATGGTTACATATTTGAGATCAGCATAAAAACTTATATACACAACAAAAGTTCATTGTCCTAGGCAACAAATAAAGAAAATTTTTTTGTAGCCTCTACTCTTAACGCAACAAGAATCCACAGACAATGCCTATGCAATCACCAACAATATACCAGAAGATCCATTCTACAACTGTACACTTTGGCAGCCACAAATTGGTCGGAGAATGACAAGCAAACACGACCCCATTCGGCTTGACAGAAGGAACTTTCAAACTCTTGACACAAATGAAAGCAATGAAATGTGCTTCAATGCAGTCAACACAGCCTTCTGTAATCTGCTCTTTGCTGCACGAATGTTGGAGGACATGCATTAACCCTTTGATGGTCTAAGACATACATGTACATCATTCCAAACTGTGACTGTACATGAACATACATGTACAGTCCCAGACGTACATGTAAATCACTGCATGTATGCTTAAAATGCAGGTCTTTTCCAATTATTTTTCTTGTTTGGCATGCGCTGCCACACTTCGAGAATGCGTGGAATTTTACCATGCACCAATGTCTTTCCGTTGTTGTTTTTTTATTATCTTTTCAGAGCGGCATGCCGGCTTTTGCTTGCACATCTCAGCTCGCGTGCGCAGTGTGGCTGGTTTCGGTTTCATCCTTCATGCAGCTATGGCTTCTTGCTCCTGCAAAGTTGGAGGCTGTCTGGTTTCTAACACAATGGACTCTTAGTTAACGAAAATCTTTTAAATGGACTTGCTGCTTAAATAGAACAACTTTCTCTAGCATAACTGATTTTTTACTTTAATTCTTCAGTCAAGTTCATTTCTCAGTAAATAAAACTCCTGTTAAACAGAACACTTTTTCCTGGTCCCTTCAGGTTCTGTATAACAGGAGTCTATGACAGCTTCGTACTCTTTTGTTTATTGCTCCACGGGGCACGATTCTTTCTGTTACAATGTGATGCTACATGACACACAACGATGGCGCCGTTGTTGCATTTCCTGTTTTGAGGACATGAAAAAATTAACTCCATCTCGATGGAGATAAGTGAAAAGATTATTACAGCTTTTCACTCATTTTGCTTTCCGAGCGGGTGCACAACCCCTCAGTTTTTTACGGGCACTCCGTCAAGAGAAGCAGGACCCGGTGAAAATGCTACATCTTTACCAACACTTCTCGGCGACAGAAACTTCGCGAAGAAACATGCCACATGTGTGTTGAGTCAACAACCCACTATGTAAAGAGCCACGTTTCACCACCTATCACACACTGAAAAGCTTATACAGTTAGAGCAAGAACATCTTTTACCCTAAAGTACTCTGTCGTGCTTATTTCCGTATGTGTGTGAGCTATGCCTATTAAAACGCAAAGGTTTTTTTTTAATATTGTGTAAGCGCTTTTTTAGGATTTCACTTGCTGTAACTCACGAATAAAGCATGTGTAAACTACAACACAGTTGTTTTTAGCACTTTATAGTCGGCCAAAAAAAATTTTGGACAATTTTTCTTTTTGAATACATCCATCTCAAGAATTTATTTCAACAATAAAAAAATACACATTTTCAGGACGAATTTCGTGAGAAAAAGTCTATCATCAAAGGGCTCTAAATTAGGTGTAACACAGCCTCCCGTCCAATGCATCTGTACAACTATGTCATAGTTGGCCACTTTTTACAGTAATTAAGGCCCTCTAATGATGCGAAGCTGAAGTTGAAATGCCTACTGGATGGAAAGTTTTAGAATAGCACCCCTGTGGGAGGCCCTACTGACAAGCCCAAGTCCAGAGGACCAGCTGGTGAATAGAGCTAGACTAGCTCATGTCCACAACTACCTAGAATGGGGTGGCTGCCCACCTCCCAACATAAACAGCCTGGCTTACATAATATAGTTTCATTCTCTTACTTTGCATTTAAGATGGCTCATACATACTGCTGTAAAACCTTGAGTGAGCGCCCCCTTCCCCCTTTCAGGAGATTTTAAATATACACCAATGGCTGGGCAAACCCACCTCCCCTTCTGCCACTTTTTCCCACCTGTTTTGCACAACAGAATCTTGCAGCAGCAGTTTTTAGACACTGAAGTTCTGAAAATCTCAAGACATGTCCAAGATTTCTCAGTGCGTTTACAGTGAGGTGCCTTGGGATTGAATTCCGAGTTGTCTTAGATAGCCTCAACATTTGAATAAAGCCGTTTCCCTTTGTAACAGACATGCAAATTCACACAAGGATTCCCTCCAGTTCAGTAAAAACACTAAATTTATATTCAGTAAAGCATTTTATTATAAGCCCAGGTTTTGATTCTTAGAGGCTCTTCTGCTGCTACATTGAATTTTGGTCCACAACCGAACAAGAAGCCCCTCTCCAAATCTCATTTGATTATCTTTCCTCGCAGGAAGGGGAGCCCTTGCTCAGGATTTTAAGGCACGTAGAAATGGCCACATGAAAGATTGATTCCCTCTACATCTGCCGCATAAACGTGTCACATAATCTGGTCAATGAGAATAATGCAGGAGTAAATCTATGCACAAGATAGTAGTGTGTAAGGTCATCCTTATAACGGCCTTATCAGAGATGATGCCAAGCATGGTTCAGATGCGGGCTTTTGCTAACTATGCTACCGTTGGCACATCCTTAAATATGCCTGTGCATTATGTTTACTTCCCACCATCATCATCCTGCATGGATACGGTATTTGTATGAGCTATGTCTAATGTCCGAGGCTCCTTGTTATTGTAATTTCTCCCTTTTTTGGGCCTTTATTTTCATGAGCATGCTAACAAGAAATTTTCTCATGTGACACAAGCAATGTAGAACTCATCCAGTAAAATACCGCTTTGTTCTGGCCTCTGCGCCTGTACAGACAGCACTGACACCAGTCTGTACATTACACAACACCTGGCAGAAATTGTTTATAAGTGTTGCTAAGCAAGTGCTCAGTGACTAGCACGCTCAGTTCCCAAAGGCACAGAGCCCATGTGACATTGGTTAGTATTCTAACGAAGCTACCACAAAAATGAATTTTTTGTAATGCTGTGGCAATGACAGAGCTTTACAGGTGTGATGCAGTAAGCGCAGGACAAAAATCGTCATTGTGTGTCATCGATAGTGACTGCGGCAATCGTTATATTAATAGAATATTTGAGTGCAAACAAGGCAAACCCAATTTAAAGTTTTGAACTGCTGTAACAGCAAGGAAATGAAAGCATTAGATAAAAGAAGCTAGAATAATGGAACTATGAGATAGCTTTATTCTAACATCCGACAAATCTAAATTTATGCACCACAGCAGACTTGTCCACTAGGTGGAAGAAGTGTGTGTGAACGCAGCCTTACAGACTGCTTGAGCTGAACAAAGAAACTGCACCTTCACTGGCCGAAGAGACTGCTTTACTAAAGAAACTGCCAAGCACTTGAAATACAGAATAGAAGGTACTGTAAAATGCATTCAAGGAGTAACTTTAGTAGAGTACTTAAACTCTTCCCCTATAGAATATTTTTTGCCAAAAACAATATAAAAATACAGATTTTTTTAATCACGTATGTTGAAACTAAAAAATCATTCAAAGGCTCTTTATTCGCAAGACAGACACAAGATTTTTTTTTTTTAATATACAGAGGATTCGCTTCATTGCATTGCACCATGAAAAGTGCCCCAACCTCTCCACTGTTTGTGCAGAAAATCAAATGTCTCTTTGAAACTTGAAAATAAAGTGCAGGGAAATGAATCTATGAACACAAGTCCTGGACATGCCAATAGGTGTCTATTTCCATATAAGGGTGGCTTCTGACAATACGCCAATACGAGGTGGTTGTTCAAATCCAATTGTGTAGAGAAACTATGCCGTTATGTATAGTTACTGTAACACTAACAGAAGAACTGAAATTCTCTATTTAATGAAGCTGCAGCAAACCAGGGCATCGTTGTTTTCCTGAAAGGAGTTGTTCCAGTACACGTGCACCACCCATACACGAAGGAGGACCACATTTTTTTATTCAGTTTGCATGAATCAAGACCCTTCTTAACCAAATTGCGTGCTGTGAGCACATTTAGAATATTTTTTTACTGTGCTCTGCTGTAGTCGAAATAAACAAAGCAAAGTGAATCAGGGTAGCTTAACTATGGCATCCCCAAATGCTTCTTTCATGATAAACAAGCCTAGCTCACCTTCAGTAGGAAAAGGGTTACGATATACAAGTATCTAGCCTTACAGAGTCTCGATCATTAATTTTAACAAAAAGTACTGTACTTTATTTTTTTAGCAACATAAAATACTTGATAAAGACCAAGAAACTAAATAGCTAGGTCAATTTATTAAAGAACAAAGCAGCAACAAGTACAAACTTTCCCCCAATATTTTCAGTGTCATTATTTTTTTATAGTGATATAAATTTTCAGAAGCCATTAACAAATACCTTTTTACCACTTCACTTCACGCATTATCATAAGTAATTTTTGCATCTTTAAGTTTACCATAAGGGTGAGGCATACAATCATTGATCTTACTGAACATATGTTTATGTTCCGAGCATGTGGCCAAGCATCCGAAACCTCTTGCTGATTACACCTTGTGACGCAAGTTGCAAAGGAATTCCTCTATTGATTGCAGAAACACAGGGCCGTTGATATTAACGGCTGCATTGCTTGTGATACCTTGGACCACTCATTATGAGCAAGTGGGCCAGAATCTGGTGCCTCTATCACTCAGCGCGCGAAATGCAGTCGCAGAAGACTGCATACTGAAATTTGAGCTCATGTCTGGTACTCGAAAGAACAGTTAGGGAAGCTCAGATTCTGCACAATATTGTAGATATTCATGTTATAAGTTTGTATAATGTATTTACACAATTAGTCGGTCAAATAGTATGGTGCTTGAAGATGCGCAATTTTAAGCAACGACAGGACATCGAATAGAGTACATTAGCTGTGCATTCATTACCCATATGGCTGGCAGCGCTTGATGGGTGCAGACCTCTCACGTCACTCCCATCCATGCTGCTACAGCTCATTCCTGGATAGAAAATCAATCACAACTGAACTAATGAAGATCCTTACATGACAAATTTTAAAAAAGCAAGATTTTACACAAAAATTGTGATGTGCAATGAGTGACTGATAGCATTCATACAAGCACATGTGTGAATTCACAGCACGAGACGGCTACAGAAATTATATCTCAGCAAATCGAAACATAAACTGTTCTACTACAATGCACCACTTTGCCATTTTTGCCAAAGGAAACCAGAAACAATGCAGACACTGGTGTCACTGAAGCAATTTAATTGTCGAACACACTGCCAAACATTTCAAACAGCTAACATTAACGCCATTATTTCCCTTTGCTGTTGTTAGCAAAAATGAACTGCTGTTGTGGTCTTACTGCAGAAAAAAAAAAAAACTTCGAAGGTACACTGCAGGCACAAAGTTACGGATGCGGTTGGAAAAGGGAAAGAATTAGCACATAAATCATTTGTTAACTTAGCATACAGATGTCCATAATTTTGAAAAATGCAGCGAGCTTTTGGTGCGCGTTCGGGGGGGGGGGGGGGGGGGGGCAATACAAGTTCGCGCGATAATGTACTCACCTTGATGCATTCCCAAGACCAAGTTTGCGTCCATTTCTGCAGGAGTAGAAACAAACCGGGTACTTTACTCAGACATTTTTTTTTAATAAACAAAAATGCAGTGCCTTAACGTCACGCTGACTGATCAACATCAAAACACATCAAAAAATTGCGCGCAAATTCCGCAAATGCTCCCTCGAGCACCCCACCTCCAGAACAAACTGCTATTTTACTGTTTTAGGCACTACTCAGCTGCAGTGATGATTCGCGCGTTTGTCTGCACTCTCGGTTTTGGTTCAAAGTTTTCCCGCACCGCCGCCGAACATTAAAAAAAAAAAAAAAACGCGCGCGGTTTACATAGTACTTTCGCTGTTTTTTATTTTTTTTATCACGAGAAAAACATTACAGAGAGTGACAGGCCAAATTTATTCGTGCGTAGACACGGTAGAATGAGAAATAGGAGGTCATGTCAAAACTAAAGGTTTGAAAGACGCGTTTAAAAACAGTTCATAATGTCACTGCAGTCCTTTTATAAGAAACATCGTTATTGCGGACGCCATGTTTTCATCTTTGTGCAATATATTCGAATAGGTTTTCAAACAGTGAAACACATCCCTCACGTAACACTGCCGTGTGCATACAAGACGCACCGAATTATGCTTTTTTTTAATGCTTGTGTGTGCGCACGAACGCGTCGTTTGCATTAGACCCTCGGTGCTGTAGGGAAAACAGCCGCAGATTAAACATGGGCGAGGGGGTTCGTTTACTGTGAAAAGCTTACCTTGGCGCAATTTTTGTAGTGGGGATGCTCGACGTAGGTTGCGCGAGCAGGTGTTATCTGGCTATCAGCACACCATCATGTAGTCATGGGATGCCCATTTTATGGGCAAGCACGCGCAAAAGGCGAACATCAAGCGCTCTTGTTAAAACAACAAAACACTCCATTTGTTTATGCCAGTGTTGCCAGTAACTGAAGGCGATTTCCCGCTATAGGTGGCCATCTTGCCTTTGCGCAATTTATTGGCGCGCTCATTCGCGTATTAAGCACGCACGTCTGCCGTCGCGCAGGAAATATCAAACCAGCTGTATATAAAGCTCCTTAATTCGCACTTTACGTGACTCTGGCTTGCACATATCGACAATGTTTCTCAAGAAACGTACTGTGGCTGGAATATGTAGCCGCTTGCCAAATTCGTCAAGGATGTAACCCTCGACCTCCGAAATGTGCTACAAAGTGAACCTTCCAAGCATCTATAATGGCCTCCAGGGCATAAAAAAAAAAAACTCGAACCCCAAATCTCTAAGTGTTTTGGACGTCTGAGCGTGAACTTTATTACAAAAAGGCACTCGAACCCTGAACCTTCCAAGCATGACGAGAGCCGGACCCTTGACCTCTGAAGTATAACTCGCTTAACAAATGTGTCCGGGCTTGAACCTTGCCCTTCTGTACGTGTACAGTATCGAAACCACACAGGTTTAGAAGCACAGAAGAATGCGTTGTTAGAATGAGTCGGTTGTTTCTTTCCTCCATATTCAGAAGCATACAGGAACTCGAGCCCCAAACCTTCCCTTTGTGTAGGGCATGAATACCTCAGCATTTGCAGTATGAAGTCGTAAAAATGCTTATGCATCCATTAACAGTTACCATGATATTTCTGCAAGTTTTGTTGGGGCCATTTAAATTACTTGCATAGGCCTACTGTCAGAAGGCTATGCATATACTACAATATCCTTTTGTAGGCATCACTATTCAGGAAATGTTCTATACTCCCAAGATTGAATGGGAGTCATTTGTCGCATTGCTTGGCCAAGTGGCAAAATCACCTACTGACTTGATCACCAACATTTGTCATTCACAGTTCCATTTACAGAGAGAATGCTATTTTTCATTCTATTGCAGAACGAATTGTATGTACATTGACAAAGCGTGAAATCTTTCCAGTTGTGCAAGGATCCTACATTTTTTCTACTAGCATCTAAGTTCTTAGATGTTTTCTAAGAAAGTTATCAAAGGACAGTGCTAGTACATTGCACATGATATGAAAGCATATGCACTTTTGCTTCAGGCTATGACTGTAATGACTCCGATATTTTCACTAATGTGTAGCAATATAAAACTCACAAGAGTAGCAACAAGTCTCTAAATGTAGATGTTCACATGGAGGAAAGAAGGGGAATTTTCAGGACTCATTTTTCTTTGTTAAACACAATACTAATGAGAACTAGTGAACAATAATGCCAAGAAAAAGATGAGCGCATTATTTCTTATAAGTAAAATATCAACGTGAAGGAAGTAAAGTGAACAAAAAGGTAACTTGCCACCAACAGGGACTGAACCTGCAACCTTTATTTTGTTGGAAGGTTCCATTCGAAGGTAGCAGGTTCAGTCAAGTTATTTTTCGTCCACTTTACTTTCTTTGCATTTATATCGTAATTATAAGAAATAACACCCCCTATGCTTGCCTTGGCATTATACTGTCCACTAGTTCTTATATGTAGAAAAGTGTTTTTGAGCTATGAATAGCTCATGATAAAACAAGCGCGAAAAACACTCGGAAAAGAACACAGGACAAGTGCTCGTACCATGTCCTTTCTGAGTGTTTGTATTTTTTGGCACTTGCTTCATCATGAACTAATACCAACATGCCCAACTGGCAGTCATTCTATGAATAGCTGCGATACCATTCCGTCATTGCTAAATAAAAAACAGTGATCGGACGTTTCTGAAAGTGGATCTACAGCTTTCCACATCAGCATGTTGCGCACTTAGTTTTGTCTCTGGAAAATAATGCGCTTTCCTTACAAGTTATTTAAGGCCTTGTCTTGATTTTCCAGCACTCAGTAGTAGTAGTAAACAACTTTATTAAAGCAGCTGACGGTTTTCTAAGTGGCGAGGGCTGTCGGGCAATGCCTGGTCACCACCTCGTCAGCGCATTTGATGGCTCAGAGCAGGGTGTCCAGGCTTGTAGTCGTGAGGATTCTCTCCCAGGCCTCACTTGAAGGTGACTGTCCTAGGAGGTTTGGTGCGGGAGGGTCCTTGCTGCATCCCCAGATGATGTGGTTTAAGGTTGCGGTCTGTGTCTTGCAAACGGTGCACGTAGATGTGAATAAGGCTGAGTATATGTATCTGTATATGTATGGGGAAGGGAATGAGTTCGTTTCAAGCCGCGGCCAAGTGATTTGTTGAGCTTTGTTTAGTTGCGGGTGCGGGGGTGGTCTGGTTTGCCTTGATAGCTTGTAGTACTGAAGCAACTGAACCACTAATCACCTTTCATGACATCACGCAGTACTGTAGCACTCAGAAAAACAAGCAAACTTTAAAAGCACAACACAAATCTTTATCTCTCCTTTCTTAAAGTAGATGGCGCTAAATGATGGAAGTGTGATGCCTCCTCAGCTACAGCATGTAAAAAGACATTTTGTACTGACGAGTTTAGTAACTATAAAATTACGTATTTCGCCATTACACTGATTAAGACAAGCTGATGGCAGTACATAGTATCAATGTTCTGAGGATGCACCAGTTTTATGAAACCCAGTGCAGCAACTTTAAGCAACACCATGTTTTCGAAAGCATTGAACCACATTTTTCCTGCTATACACAAGGTACTTTTGTACAGCCTGCAGATATACATTACAGCAGCAATGTATCTGGTTCGCACAGGCAGAAGAGTTCAAAGTGATGCAATCATCCCAGCCTTTTGCTTCCTTCTTTCACATGGATACCTACATCCCAAACTATAAGAGTGACATTACCTGCCCATGCTGAATATGACCATGATTGCTATGCAACATCACAGATTACAACCTATTTCATACTGCAGATGCCCTTGTTCGAAATTGATGCAATACAATATCATTTACCACTAAAGAGGCTAAATAGAAGTTAAGAATAAAAAAAAGGGAGAAGTTTACACTAGCTGTATAAAGCTTCTGGGTATCACCCTGGTTTTTGGTGCTCGAGCTCATGCGGGCACTGTAAAAAATGGCCGCTTGGCAGTAAAGCTTAGGGCGGTCAGTAAAGGCCATGTTCTTAACGCTGCCTCTGTCTGCTTTTTGAGGGCTTCAGCCAACCCTTAGCCCTGAGCCTACAAGCTTAAGGAACAGCAAAACTGGTTAATCTTTGGGGCTTAACATGGCACTCCCGGCTGATGCCAGGTGTTTCCCTGGTGTAGACAAAGTAAAGTTGAGCCACAGCCTGTCACAGACCATGCAAGGATGTCCGAACTCCAATGCCATAACTAACATGCAAAGCTGGCTGGGGCAGCCCGGGTAGAAGTGAGGGCCTTTCCATCGCTCCTACTCGGCTCGCATGCCAGGCAAACTCAACACAGCAGCAGCACGGACTGTGTCTGTCGATGGGTGCAGCTGATAAGCAAGGGCACAGATGGCTTCTTGCGGACACTCAGCGTTTTGCCTCGATCTTTAACAGCTTAGCTCTTAAAAAGCTAATGCAACACATTTGACACATGGTAAGAAAAAGTTTGCCACACAAGGCTGCCATGAACTTTCAAAGTAAAAAATAATTCCATTGTATAGAGTCGGTATTCAACACAAATGCACAAAAGATGGCTCTCTTGGCTCAGTTTTTGGTGATAAGAGGTGTTTAGGTTCGGCATCCTAAAACTATCATATGCGTACTAGAAATGCTCTAGTGGGAGGGGCTCTAGCAATTTCGAACACCTGCGGTTGTTTAACACGTACCAAAATCAAAGTACACGGGCCTCAAGCATTTTTGCCTCCATCAAAAACAGCCGAGATTCGAACCCGTGATATGCGGGTCAGCAGTCGCGCACCATAACCACTAAACTACTGCAGCAGGTGTGGTTCTTAATGATGTCTCGATTTTAGGAAGCCCCAGTCTCACTGGAAAGCCACATACAAAGAAGTATTGTACCTGTCAAAGAGAGGAATTATCGACCTAATATAGGCACATTACAAGAAGCACCACTAGGGTTACCTTTTTGAAACAAACGTTGCATCTTTCCTTCTGCAGCTTTTCATACACCACTATGTCTCACGTATCATGTCTCACTATGTCTCACGTATGTCTCACGTATCGAGTATTTAAAAAAGGTGATACCTTCAGTATGTGCAATTACAGGCCCATATCTGTCCTTCCCTTCCTGGATAAAATTTTGGAAAAACTAATTGAAATAAGAATATCTAAATATTTAAGCAAGTTTAACATACTTTCTCCTTGTCAGTTTGGTTTTAGGGCTGGTCTTTCCACTGATACTGCAATTGCTTGTTTCACTGACAAAATCAGATCATTTATTGATAATGGTAACATCGCAGGATCTGTCTTCGTCGACTTTACTAAAGCATTTGATAGTATTGATCATTTCATCCTATTTCGCAAACTCGAGTACTATGGCATAACTGGTCCCGCATTAACGCTATTACAGAGCTTTCTTCTTAATAGTTTGCAGGTGGTCTCGGTCGATAATTTTACATCCAGTCCCAACCCCATTACAAGAGGTGTTCCGCAAGGTTCAATTTTGGGTCCATTATTATTTTTATTATTCATAAATGATTTACCACGTTGCCTTAATTATTCTTCCTGTTTACTTTACGCTGATGACACGACTCTCTTTTCTCATCACTTGGATTTAGCGACTCTCGTGTCTCGTGTCAAGCTGACCTTAATTGTCTTGTTGACTGGTGCAACTGTAATAGATTGTTGATTAATCCTTGCAAAACCTGTTTTATGCTTTTTTATTCACCAAACAAAAAACTATCATTTATTCCTTACCTTAATGTGAACTTAATAGTTATTCCTTTAAGTGATCACACGTCATTTTTAGGAGTTATAATGGACACACATCTAAAATTTCAGCAACATATCAATTCTGTTTGTAAAAAGATTTCGTACGGTATCAGGGCATTGGTCAAGTCACGAATGTGTTTTAACATCGAAACTCTCAAGGCATTGTATTATGCATTCATACACAGTCATCTCAGTTATTGCATTACATCTTGGGGTAATTCATATTCGGTGCACATTTGGCCGTTAAAGGTATTGCAAAAACAAGCAATTCGACTCATAACTTTCGCTTCACGTCAAGCGCCATCGCGAGATTTTTCGGCAGCTTGACGTATTACCGATTTCCCAAATGTACGTTTACAATGTGTGTGTTTTGTTTTTCAAAATTTTCCACCGTCCCCTCACTATCGACATCTTTCCTATTACCTTGTTGGATAATTCCATTAATACTAGATTCGCGGTCGCCCATAACCTGTTATTACCTAAAGTTCGCACTAATTATGGAAAAATGAGCATTGTTCTTTCATCAATTTCATTATGGAATTCTTTGTCACATGATGTGAAAGACTTAATGCACATTCATTTTTTTAAGAGGAAATTGAAAAAGTCTCTATTAAACGTATAACTGCTGAATTTTGTTAAGTTTTGATATCTTGCTTTGTTTGTAGAAAAAAAAAAAGTTCAAAATGTTCTGTGACTTGCTCTTTCGATATTCATATTTTAGCTTTTTCATTGTAATAACATAGGAGGTCCCGCCTGCGGTTTACTACCTTGGGACCTCCTCCTGCATACTTACTCACAATGTACACTTCTGATGCTAATAAAGAAACATTGATTGATTGATTGATACTGTAGACCTGTGCAACAACCCATATATGCGAGACACTGGACAATTGTTTGCAATTACTAATCACAAAAAATAGTTCACACATGCAAGCATTTCTCTCCAGACCCCTCACAAGTAGGGAAGCAGCAGTCAAGAAGACTTCCCTATCTTTACACAACTCTTTTCTAGTTTTCTGGCAACAGTCATACACTAATCTTGAAAGGTTATCGCAAATGCAATCTAGGTACAAAAAGTAGTTTAACAGGCAAGACATTGCTCTCAACACTGCCTAAGGAAGGAACAGAACAGTGTTTCTTCTTTTAGTTTTTCTTCCCTTTGTTGTTGCACTGCAACAGTTCAATGTCAAACCAGTTTGCTTAGTCCTCAACTTAACTTTTAGAAAATAGTACTAGGTGTTTAGCAGCATACAGTACCACAAAGATATTGCAAAATTACTGTGTATTTGTCTATCAAGCCACTTACGTCTGGGTGCTTTCGTGGTACCCTCCTTAACTTGGCATAAACCAAAATCAGCATGGGAGGGTAAGATGGTCCAACGAATATTACATGGTGGTCAAGACATGAATAATGTCACAATCCTGTCGCGTACGTCATCAAACACTTCCCGCCATACAGTGGCACATACCAATGGGCGTGTATGTGCCGCTGGTATGCGGGTATGTGCCATAGGTGATTGGCACTTAGTATCTACCCTGGAACGACGAGAACACACATGGGCAATTTTAATGCGCAAGCGTCAAGAAATACCCGACATCAGCAGCAGTGACCCGACGCATGCAGAGAATAAATGTCAGGGTCCCAGCTGGAATCGAACCCAAGCATTCTGCGTGGAAATGAAACATTTTACCACAGAGCTACGCCAGGTCTCGGAACTACTTGTCAAATAGCCGCTAATCTTCGTGAAACGTCAATAGTGGTTGCAGTGCTGCATGCTTACCCAATTTTATAAACATTACACATGTACTCCTTTGATACAGCTGTCACGTTGGGGTAACGTCAATTGTGGTTAATTGCCATGTGCTGAAGTTGATTTGTGTAGCAGTGTCCAGGGCCAGCATCCTCGCGAGCATCAGCATTTCATATCAGCTTCTGGTGTTTCTAATACGCATGTTCCAGTTGGCATCATTGCACAAGTGCAAACAACTTCTTATATAAACATCTGCAACTCTTCAACATATGTCTGTGCGTACAACATTCGTACATATATTTAGCGTCATTTCATAATGTCTTGCTCGATAAAAAAAATTATAATACGGCTACCTTCCCTCCGCACGCTTCGCATAACGTCGATTCCCAGGTACTCGGGATCTGCTGAATTTTTATTGCACAGTGAAAAATCTGAAATGCTGGTGTCATGCTAATCTGCTAGCAGTAAATGAAACCCACCTGTTACTTTAGCCAGGATCACAACATAATAAGCTCGAGAGAAGATGTTCAATTTCTAGCCACATTGGTCACATTTTGATGGGAATGAATTACAAGGGCATATGTGCACTTGGATATAGGTGCACATCAAAGAGCCTCAGGAAACGAAAATCTGGAGACCCCCCTTATTGCAGGCCTTATAACATGTGTTTGGCTTGAAAACCCCCTGAAATTAAGTAAACCATCATTTACAAAATGTCACCCTCCCATTTGCTTTTGGGAAATTTAAAAGCTAGCAATAGTGTTCCCAAGATGATCAAGATTTCACAAATGCAAATTTAGCTCCACGTGCCATACCGCAACCCTATGGCAGTTTTTGCCTTTTTCATTATAAAGAAATGGTGCAAGGCATATGAAGATGTATCACACGTATGAGCAAACATTGAAAATGACGTTATAAATGTCGGGCTATGGTACAGGAAGTTCACGTCTGGGTCAGTATATTCTCAGCTGGGCCGGTTCACGTGGCCGTGAATGGCAAGACTACCATAGACTACATATTAATACGATACAACAAAATGCCAGCCCTGGCCTATACAATGTGAAGAATAAAGACCGTACAGGCCAGCAAAGGCTTCTTTACAACTGACAAAAATGGAATTTCAAACAAGTGGAACAAGAAACTTTTAAAAATCATCGTCCCAGACATGTTCCTCCCTGCTCTGCAAGAACATCAAAATCCCAAGCAGAGCAATGTGTTGTCATCAATGCTGCTGCTCAAGCAGTGGCAACATTCTGGTCACTGGCAGCAGATTACCATGACACCCACACACGACACCTATTTATGTGGCATTACAAATTATTAAAGGAGGATGTTTCACATCTGAAAAAGCAGCTCACGCATGAATATGAAAATATAAACATTGTTTTCTTTATGTTCAACATTAATTAAATAGTTAATTGAAGCTTACTCCCTGAATGCCTGGGAAAATGGAACAAAACTAATGTGGCTATTCCCTGTCTACACCAAACAGTGGGCCTTCCAAGGCAAAGGTTTTTTTTTTTTTTTTTTTTTTTTCAGGCGGCAAAAAACTTGTATCAGCTTAACAAAACATATAATTTCAGTGAATAATGCAGTTTCTTTTTTTTTACATCTCATGGCTTCACGAGCAAGTGAAAGAGAAGCCGAAACATATAGATGAAACAGCTACTTGTTTAGCATGGCGAGAACCTGCAATTAGCGATAAAGCTACCATGAAAACAGGCCATGCACACAAGACAAATAGGTCACGAAAAAATCTTTCACTAGCTATAATTCCACAAGTGGGCTTTTCCACAGAGCATTATGTCGTTTATACAATACCATTTTAGCTTTTGAGAATGGTGGCAAAATATCATTATAGCAAACTACCATTCTGTATTTCAAAATAAGGGCAGTACATATCTACAATTCTGGATTACTGATCACATTGAGTGGATTTACCCAAAGCAGAGAATGTGTCTTCTGATTATCAAAATTGTGTGCTTTATTTGACTTCAAAAAACTATGGGCATGAACTGATATAAAGTACAAGCATGAGCAGTCACAATAAAGTGCAAGTATACGACACACAATGTGCACGTTTCCCCAAAAAAACTGGCACACCTATGTGGTATTAAAAGCCATATGAAAAGTGTAAAGTATTGTATAAAATTTTCAAAATATGCAAAAACGTGATTCAAAAAGCATGAAAAAGTGAAAGGCACTAAAAGCAGCTCAATGAAATGCATGACATGTATATATGATGCATGACATTGATAAAATGTGGCATATTTTGCAGTATAAGATAAAAAGATGCCATTTGCTCACACGGCGGTACACGAATAAGAGTTGATTAAAAACAGTGGTGTGAAATACCCATGCCAGCTTCACTGCTGCAGCTTGTTAGTTACACGAGTAACGAGACCATTAATATCAGTCTCCTTCACAATTTTTACATATGTGCCACGCCGGATGGTTAGTACCTTAAACCAATCAGGGAGCACTTTTGAAGCAAGAACAATAAGGGACTCGACTTCAGCCACTTCCTGAATGGATGAAAAACTTTCTTTGATCTTCTGCACAAGGTCATCCTTTGGTATAGCTGCCTTCTGCTCAGCAAGGAAGAGGGACCGAGTGATTCTGATGAACTCTGGAAGTTTAGCCAGTTCAGCTCGCTCTTTTTCATCCTCTGGTCGAAGTGTCATTTCTTTCACAAGTTTGAATGACTCTCGCTCACGAATTCGGGCAAGAAGATCCTCAGATATGCCTTTCAAACATGTCCCAGCCTTACTGTTGCTCTGAGACGGCGGTGCAGTAATAGTTGCCTGCTGGTCTGCATTCAAGCTCAGCAATGCTTTTTCAATGCGCTCACCAAGCCTGCCTTTGACTTTGTCCAGCACATCCTGCGCTGAGGTGAAGGATTTTTTCAGGGGCGACTCTGGCAGAGGTGCTGGACAAACCATCGGTACACTATCCAAAGGAAACTTTGGATGCCAGCGGGTTAAAGCACCCGCGGCAATACTGACAGGTGGGTCCAAGCTCTGAAGAAACTTCTCATGGTGTTTTTTTACAGATGACAATAGAAGGGAGTGAAATTGCTTTCTACGGTGCAGAAGTTGGGTCGCAGTGAGCATCTTTGAGCTTTCTGGGGGCAAACGCGGTGTCACTACCAGATGATAGCCGCTGTCGGCGAGTCCTCGCTGCTGCAATTTCTCTTGACTTAAAATGTATGCATCTGGGAAGATTGTTGTTATCTGGCCGAGCTTGTCCTTGCTGAAGCTTTTCTTTGACATCTCCTCAACAGAGCGTTTCAGTTTGTCAAACGTGCAAACTTCCTTCCTGTTGAATAACATACTAACGATTGTGTCACAGCACCGAAATATTTCGAAAAGTTCTTTGTAACTGTACGGAAGGATGAGGCCGGGCTGTGGCTCTGTAAGGTGGTGAAAGCGTTCATATGCAGGACTTTTACCGGCTTCGTCTTGGGTTTTCTTCGCTGCCTGCACTTTGTTAAGAGCAGTCTGCGCGCTGTCGATAGCTTTCAGCCTATCCTGTAGCTCTAGCAGTTTGCCGGACGCCATAAGCTTTTTCATCACAGCGCTCTTCAGGCTCTCAGATTTGTCAGGCGCCGGCTTCAACGGTGTGCCAGGCTTTTTCTCCGTCTCTTCAAGCTGCGACGACGGCAGGGTAGGGCCAGTTTTCGTGATGTCGGCCCCGTCAACATCTTCATGAAGGAGTAGGCGCTTGCGAACGGACGTAGGGGGTCGCCGAAGAGGCAAGCAGTCACCTTGCTTCGACGACACCGGCGTTTTTTCAGCAGCCTCTATGCGTCTTCTCTTGTGAGGCAAGCTGGCATATGGCTCTGAATTGGCAGCGATCAGCTCATGAGGCACCGTCTTAGGTGTTCGCAAAGTGTCGATGCTGCCTCCGAACGTGGTCCGTTTGTTCTTCAACGCAGGGCCTTGTTTCTTCGCGCTATAATAGCGCGTAAGAGCAGTTTGCTTCATCAATGACATTTTGCGCCTGTAGTGCAGAATCCCGCCAAAGTAGAGTGTCACAACGCAACAACTTGCCTGCTTTTTCGCGCGAACTTCGTCATTAACGCGCGAAAACTGTGGCGGTGGCGGCAAAGACAACAAAAAGCGCAAATTTATTTCTGATACATTGTTGCCAGCACAATCGCTGTCCTCTATGTCCTCTATCAAAGGTTGATGATGATTGCAAAACAAGTAACAGTTTTATTTCAATAAGTAAAAATTTTCTCAATTTTTTTTTCAATTGTTGTGGTTGCTAGTGCACTTGCGTGGAATTTTAGTTTTTTTTAATGGCTGGCACAATGGTATCTGCACTTCAGTGATCACAGTGTTGTGCACCTGTTAACTCACGCATGGGTCACGTAGTTTCGTTGGTTTCGTTTGTCGCGCATGTGGCAGTTTACGCAAGTTTATGTCGTTAATTACAATTTTGTATGACACGCCCTATGATTAGCAGTGTCTGCTTTCTCAACGGAGGAAGGTAAGATTTCCTTCCAGCGTGGCTTTCTCTCTTCATTGGCCAAGGGTCGGCTTGAACTGTGATACGTATACATTGCCCGTACCGTGGCCCGTACACTAGCGGTGTGGTCGAGCAGGCAGTTTTAATCCGGGCACTTCACTTCGCATTCGTAAAAAAGTGCCAGGGGACTCGCTCTCTGGATTTCTTGCCGACCGGTTGTGCCCCCGCGATCTGCGACGACAGCGCAGCTTTGGCCGACTGGCTCGCCCTACGCCATCTCCTGACGCCGACAAGAGCTCTCGCTGAGTGGTGCCCCGTCCTCGGACTCCTGCGACCGTGTCCATCTTTCCTATCTTCTTACTTCTGGGTGTCACTGCCCCTGCGCCACGCTCTCTCCTTCATCCTTTATCTATCTCTATACCTTTTAATCCTATCCTTTTAATCCCTCCTTACCCCTAGCTTCCCTCGCGAGCTACTGTTGAGGTGTCGCGCTATGACGCAGTTACCGGGCTCACTTTTATCTTCTCTCCCTTAAGAATCACATAAAAAGTGCCATGATTGTTTGGCGGTGCGCAGGCGCATACATGTGAAAAGAATAATGTGCTGCCGCGATTCCGTGTTCTTGCCTGTGAGCTAGCTGTCAGCGCTACAGTTGCGGTCATGTTGTCGTGGTCTTGTTCCTTTCTAAAGTGCACATTATAGTCCTCGTCACTTTCGAAGACCATAATATCAAATGTGGAACATGATATTGAGAGAAACTCTGAACTATACTGGCTGCCAAAAAACGTCCTATGTTTCCCTTCCTGTTACTTAGTCATGAACCCCAGTACGATGTATTTTCTGTCCGGTTCATCGAAATCTCATCTGCTGACCTCTTGATTGTTCATATTGTAGTGTTGTAGAAAACTCGCTATCATATTCATGCAGCAAATTGAATGCTATTCGTAGGGAGTGTTACTACGGGTGAAATGTTTTCGTTTTTGCTATGTGGCCATATTGAATGGCATTCAGATGGCACAACTATGTTTTTCTTTGTTGCCAGCGGCTCCTGCCAAGCACATTTTTTTGCAAGCTGTCCTCTGCATCAGCGATGAAGTAGTGCATGGCCGGAGTTTCTGTGTCGTGGAACTTCGTTCGTCATCGAACATGGTGCATGTAAATATCTTCACCGAGAAAAACAATTTGTATTGTTTTATCATGATAGAAGTGTGTTAATGAATGTTGCCATCATTGAAAATACAATTTTTTATTCCTGCATGGACTGGTAGCACTAAGTCGTATTCAATGACTATAGCAGGAGTGGGTATACAAGGTGTAGTTTGTACAAAGTTCTAAAATGCTGAGCTTTCATATAAAAAAGACAGTTGAAGAGAGCATTTATTAGAATTACAAATTTCATTCAGTAACAATTAAGTTCCACCAGATATCATTCCACTGTTGACTGGTTCTAGAAAATAAACTATAAGTATTAGTACAAATATAAACAATGAAAGAAAAGTTTCGCTTATTGCTGTTTTTTGTAACTGTAGGTTGTGTATGAGGTAGATTTATGTTATAGGAAAAATAAAGGCACATTAGTATTTTTGACAAATGCTGGACATGCAGTAGATTTAGTTGCAAATTGTCTGGTGGCTCATTGCTGCCTTGACTCAGCCGCTCACTGTGCAGTTTTTCAGTCAGTCACAAGATTTGTACGTATAATATGTGTAGAAATAGGTTGTCATCGAAATTACAAAGCAATACAAGTGGAAGTGGGTATAATGTCAGTGTGGTGATGAGTATAAAACACACACAGGTTCGAACGTCGGTCACCTAGCTTGTATTGCTCTATGGTCACTGACACGAATGGTTATGTGACTGGTGCTAGTTTTATGTCGCATTGAGTAGTTAAAAACCTGGTTATGACCGGAAAGCTCCTTTGCTTGTGTACTTGATGGTTAATGGTTTCAAGACAGTTTTAAAGCCCTGTCACAGTATCAGTGTCATTTAGATACTGGACCCGGCGTGGTTCATTTAAAAATACAGCTGGCCACGTGAATGCGCGAAACAGTGGCACATGCATTGGGTGCATGTGAGCACCGCATTGAAAACTTTAGGAGATAGTACGTGTAAGGAGCATTGCAGATGGCCTGCCATGGTGGTCTAGTGGTTAAGATACTCGGCTGCTGACCCGCAGGTCACGAGATCGAATCCCAGCTGTGGCGGCTGCATTTTCGATGGAGGCAGAAATGTTGTAGGCCCGTGTACTCAGATTCAGGTGCACGTTAAAGAACCCCAGGTGGTCTAAATTTCCGGAGCCCTCCACTACGGCGTCTCTCATAATTATGTGGTGGTTTTGGGATGTTAAACCCCACAAATCAATCAATCATCAATCAAGAAGCATTGCAGACAACACAAGCTTCTCCAATCTATGGTTTGTAGTGCATTATATGATGGTGACTACGAAAATTACGACCGCGTATACCTATGTGTCTTCTGGTCACATGACAGTACACGTGAATTGATGTATTTGTGTAAGACGTACATGCTACATGTACACTGTCGTTATTTATGGAAGGGAACATGCGATCGTGTGACCTGGTCTCTACAACAGCTGCCTACAGCATTTTGCAGCGCTTGTCCAGCGGCCATAACTCGTTTTCTTAGCCAATAGATGACGCCAAATGCCAACGCTTTTTTTTTTGCTGTAAGTTGACGATGGTCTTTTAGGCAGCCGCCGCAGAGTGCAGGCCACACGCTCACGTGTTCCCTTTAATAATAGAGGACAGTGTACATGTCATCAATGAGATGTTGGCTTCTGTGTACAGCAGAGCTCAGGGCACTTGGAGTGGTGGCATTCATTTCCTTTGAGGGATTAAGAGCCTCATATATATATATATATATATATATATATATATATATATAATGTCAAAGTCTGGTCCATAAGGCGAAACGTTAGTGAAAATATACAGTGCCAAACCAACTAAAGTCTTTATTCCCTATTATTTATTCTATCGGGGTTGTTACAAAGCAGTAACGAAGTCCTTGGGCCGGCTGCCCCCAAGCGTGCCTTCCCGTCATCTCGGACATTCTTTTGTGGGGTGCGGGTTGTCACCTGCACCAGCTGTCTTTGTCTCGGCTGTGCCCTTCGCCTGCGGGGCAGTGGCTACGGGCTGGCCCCTCTGGAATGTGCGGAAGGCCGGTTGTGTGCTACAGGAGCGACTGCCGTGAATTCCTCCTGCGTGGTCGCTTCCGAGTCCCCGCGCGTGTGCCACGTGCATCTGCCACGTGTGTGAAGGGATACTTGTGTTGTGCTCTCCATGAGTGGTTGGTTCCCCGAAGAGACATTCCGCCCTTATCTTCGTAACTGCACGGCGAGGCAGGGGAGCAGCCCGCCAGAAGGAAACAGGAGAAAGTTGCGAGAAGTGTCGTCGTTCGGATGTTACTGCCCGACATGTTGCAAATAAACGTCTTGTTAAGTTTTCCTCTACGCTGGTCCCTCTGCCTCAGCTTTCTGGAGTTCTGAACGTCCCCGTGGCCTGTGGAATGACGACCACCACCCAGCTCCACGCTACCTACTGGTTCCGCTGTGGTCACCGACACGGCTCGTAACAACTGGATGGCAGCGACGGGATTCTGCTCACGCCAAGTCGCAACAAGCTCGGGCCAGCATCGGGATCCTCTCCGCCGAGATCATGGCTGCAGGGTGTGGTGAGTGCTTGACTTTTCTTCACTGAGATTTTACCAGGGTTTATCTAGAGTTTTGTAGGAAAGGTGGTAAACTTGGATAACTACTCTACCTTGACCTGTGCATGGGAACGTAGCGTCCTAGTAGTGGTGAAGTTAGCAGCACTTGCAGGAACCATCAATCTGAAGGCACTGAAAAAACCGCTTTTGCTAGAGTTAGCTAAAAGTTTGGGTTTAGATGTTCGTGAACAAAAGAGAAAGCCAGAGATTATCGAGGCTATTGAGAACCTTAACGCAGACGAGGACGAGCTCTCAGAGTGTCTAAGCTGATGGACGAACTTGAAAGGCGCAAAGCTGAAGAGAAAAATGAGAGGCTCATACACGAAGCAGCAGAAAGGGATCTGGAGATGAAGCGCCTTGAAGTCGAGCTGCTCAAGGCTCGAGGTAGTAGTGAAGGTAGCGAAGCGTCTAGCGGAGTAGATTGGAAGTCGTTCAGGATGAAAGACCTCATGCAACCTTACCGCTCCGTAGAGGACATGGGTCTGTTCTTGGTAAATTTCGAGCGCACATGCGAGAAGGCGGGTGTTACCAAAACAATGTGGCCGCAGTGCTTGCTTACCCTACTACCCTGTGAGGCTGCCAAAGTAATTGCCCGCTTGACAAAAGAGGAAGCAAATGATTACGATCAAGTTAAGTCGAGCCTGCTAAAGAAATATAGGTTGTCAGCAGAAGCATTCAGGCAGAAGTTCCGGAACGCTGTAAAGCAAAAAGACGAGTCGTATGCATACTTCGCATACAAGTTAATGTCTAATATGAGGGAGTGGTTCAGAGAGGCTAAGGCGTTCGAGCATAAAGAGAAAATCATGGAGTGCTTCGGACTCGAGCAGTTTTACTGTCATTTGCCCCAAGACATTAGGCTCTGGGTGCAAGACAGGGAAGAGATAACCAGTGTGTCGAGGGCCGCGGAGCTAGCGGAGGATTTCATTTCGTGCCGCGCGCTTGATAGAAGTGAAATCTCCCAGCGGGAGGGCCAGATCAAAAAGGCAACTGGGTGGAGGGGACATTCAGTCCAAGAGAATGGAGAGCGCAACACTGATCCCGAAAAGCAACGGGAGGTAAGTAATGAGACCATGGTTGAGGAAAAGCACCAAAACAGTGCGTTTGAAAAGAGGTGACCACTTGTGTGCTATAAATGCCACAAGCCAGGTCACATTGCGGCCATCTGCAAGAGTCCAAAAGTTGTTTGCCTCTCAGTCGACAGCGAGGGTGAAAACATGCGACTGCTGGAGCCATATATCAGAGAGCTGATAGTAAATGGAAAAGAGTGTCGCGTGCTGCGGGATTCGCCAGCGACAATGGACGTGGTCCATCCCTCGTATGTTGAAGCTGAACATTTCACAGGAGAGTGCGCTTGGATTAAACAAGCAGCGGAACCATCAAGCGTTTGCCTTCCGATTGCTAAGGTATGCATCGAGGGCCCCTTTGGCGCATTGCACACAGAGGCTGCAGTATCTGCTTATTTGCCAAAGCAGTATGCATACTTGTTTTCAAACAGATCCGATTGGTTGCTAGGACAGAAGAACCTAGCGTACGGGGAGGGGGTTGTGTGCGCGCTCACTCGCTCAAAGGCGCGAGAACTGGCAACTAGAGCCGCACCGCTCGATGTTTCCTCGAGAATCACCGAGAAAGCCAAAGATGGAGAGCCGGCGAACACGGTAGACACGATTATCACACCAAACACTGATCAAGTGAGTAATGAAGGCGCAGATGAAAACGAGGAAGACCCTCTTGAATCTGGAAGTGTCTGTGAGGAAATGATTACTCCTGCATCTAGTAGCCTGCAGACTTTGCTGGGAGTGGATCGATCGTCCCTGATAGCGCAGCAAAGAGCAGACCCCATTCTTCAAAATATAAGGAGTCAGAGTAACGAGGGTATTTCAAAGAAAAACGTAATGTATCAGAACAGGGCCGGGATACTTTATCGTAAGTATCTAGATCGCAGACGGGTGCAGTTTGATCAGTTAGTGGCACCGGAACGTTACCGCCGTGATCTTTCACACTTAGCTCACGGTAGCTCATGGTCGGGTCACTTGGGGGTAAAAAAAAAAAACGAAGGATCGCCTGCTGCAGGAATACTATTGGCCGGGTTGTTTCCGGGAAATAGAGAATTTTGTCAGAACCTGCGACACCTGTCAGCGTGTAGGAAAACCAGGGGATAAGGTTCGTGCCCCAAGGAAGCTCGTGTCGGTGATCACTGAGCCTTTTCGTCGACTTGTGATCGACACAGTAGGGGCTCTTCCAACAACAATCCGGTTACCGTCATGTCTTAACAATAATTTGTCCCGCGACCAAGTTTTCTGAGGCAGTGCCTTTAAAAAGAACTCAGCTCGGTAGAAGTGGTAAACGCGCTGTTGTCTATTTTCTCACGCTGTGGTTTTCCCGCTGAAATACAGTCCGATCAAGGGACCGTTTTTACGAGTGCACTGACTACAACTTTCTTAGAGAAATGTGGAATCCGATTAATCCAGAGCTCGGTGTATCACCCCCAGTCAAACCCAGTAGAAAAGTTACACCCAGTAATTAAACGCGTCCTTCGAGCGCTCTGCTCGAGCGCTCTGCTTCGAGCGCAAAGTCGACTGGGATGTGTGCTTGCCAGCAACCATGTTTGCGCACAGGACCACACCTCAAGAAGCCACTGGATTTACCCCGGCAGAATTGGTCTACGGTCGCCCTCTGCGATTCCCACTCCGTATTCTTCGGGAGTCATGGGAAGGTCGAGGGGAGGACCCTACGGTGGTTGAATATGTGCTAACTCTGCTAGAGAGGTTGCATAGAGCACAGGAGCTGGCAGGGGATGAGACGAGCAAGGCACAGGTTCGGGCCAAACGTTACTATGACAGGTCGGCAAGATCACGCTGGTTTGAAGCTGGAGATGAAGCAATGCGGCTGAAACCTTTATCAAAGAATAAGCTAGATGTCCGATGGGAAGGTCCGGCGGAAGTCGTTCAAAGGCTGTTTGACACAAACTACCTGGTAAGGATGCCAGGTAGACGTAAGACGCAGCAGATCTAGCACAGCAATCTGCTCAAACCGTATCGAGAGAGAGAGGTTGTCGTAAACATGGCGGTAAACGTGCCTGAAGAGCCACCACTAGATTTCCCCTGTTCGGGAGCAGAAAGAAAGGAGGATAACGCTGGTCAAACGCTCAAGGCCATGGTTGAAGTAGTTGAGCTCACAGCTAACAAGAAGCGTGACCTAGAAAGCCTCCTGATAGAATATGAGGAAATGTTCTCGGAGAAACCGGGCCGAACAAATTTGGTAGTGCATGACATAGAGCTTACGGCCACTCAGCCCGTGCGGTCAAAGGCGTATCGAGTGTTGCCACGTCAGCGTGCCATCATTGAGGCCGAGATTAAAAGAAGCTCGAGCTTGATGTGATTGAAGCTTGTGAAAGCGA